TGTGTTCATCCAGGCTCCGCTGCCTGCACCACGGTGAGGACAGCCCGACTCGTGGGCTGTGGGCGCCGACAATGACGTGGCCGCCGATAAACAAAACAGCGGCGACGGCGACGGTGAAGCGGGCGCCGAGGAGGACGTGTTCCCAGATCGTGGTGCAAGTGCCGAGGACGACGACGGTGTGGAGTCATGGTGGCGCGACGCACCACGCGAGAAGATGCCGATACCGACGTATCCGCCGATTAACAAAAAACGACCCCACCCCACCTCCCAGAACCGAGATGGCCGCCCCCCCTCTCCCAGGCACAAGCCGTCTCAACATAAACGGCAGTCCTACACCTCATATTAGAAACTCAGGTGGCTCGTGCGGCTGGAGCTGGCGGCATCAATAAGCGAGGTCGCGCGGGAGTCCGGCATACACCGCAAATGCCTGACGAGTGGAAAACCCAAGCAGAGGAGCTCAAGGCTTCACATGCCGCACGGTGTCGACTTCATGGGCGCGGGAGGTCTTCTTGGTACAGACCCATGGAGTTAAAGGTGTACGCTCAACTCCTCGACTGGCGACGCCGCGGTGTTGCAGTTTCAGTCGGCCGGCTCCAAGAATGGTCACGCGAAGTGATGAAGGTGCTGTTCCCGGAAGTCAAGTGGAAAGGGAGTCAGCGGTAGTCGGAGCGGTTCCGCAAGCGGTGGAACCTCAGCGTGCGCATGAAAACTAAGGTGGCGCAGAAAACGCAGGAGCGTAAGTGCCTTGTTTCCCGCTTACCTCGAGCGAATTCGCATGGTTTAAGAGTTGTTGCTCCTGCACTTCCTATCTTTATCTTGTAGTGGTACTCATCCTTCTTCCTATCTGTCCTTCCCTCCCCGTGCACAGACGTGGCGACGCAGTGCAAAGAATTTTGGCATTTCGTCCGCGACGCACGCAACGAGTACGCGATCGACAATCGATACATAATCAACGCCGACCAAACGCCTCTTTGGTTGGAGATGCCGGCCACTACCACCATGGAGCAGACGGGCATGAAGTCGGTGCCCATCCGCAGCGCTGGTTACCAGAAAGAGTCACCGTGATGCTGGCGTGCACGGCGACGGGCGAGAAGTTGAAGCCGTGGGTGTTTTTCAAGCGCAAGACACTGCCTAAGGGTGACTTCCAGAACGGTAAGCACATGTTCTTGTGCGTGTTTTGGACGTTCAACAAAAAAAAGGGACTAACCACCGCTTGCTTGTGTGCAGATGTCGTGGTCGGCTGCCAAGCGAGCGGGTGGATGGAGGCCACGGGCGTCATCCAGTGGCTCGATGAGGGCGTGGTGCCGTTCCTGAAACCAAAATTCGGCGTGCAGAGTCGGAGCGCCATGCTAGTACTCAACACCTACCGTGGTCACCTTACCAAGGAAGTCAAGGCGAGATTCGCGATGCTCAACATCGTGCCGGCGGTCATCCCGGCGGGATGCACGGCAGACGTGCAGCCGCTCGATGTGTCGGTGAACAAGAGCTTCAAAGCAAGTGTTCGCCAGCAGTATCAGTCCTGGTTTGAGGCGGACGGCATGAACATTCTGACACCTGCAGGTGAGCGAGGACATGTCCTCCCGTCTCCCCTTCGTGTGCTTGTCTGCCTGCTTGTGGACTAATGTGTTCCCCACTCCCTTTCATGTGGTGCAGGGAACATCAAGAAACCACCCCCGGCAGTGGTGCTCAAGTGGATTTCACGGGCGTGGAAGGCCGTGCCCGCCGACCTAATTAAGAAAGCCTTCCTCACATGCGGCATCAGTAATGCCCTTGACGGGAGCGAATACCATATGGTGATGGCGCACCGGAGAAGCCAGCTGAGCCACGAGGTACAGGTTGACGACGACATCCAAGCAGACGGGTTCTGGGGCAACAACGACACGGAGCCCGAAACGGACGTGGAGGAAGTGGAGGCCTAAGGCTTGACTATGCAAGATAGTGTTTAGGCTAGGACAATAGTCACCCTATTGTATGTGAAACTTTTAGCTAGGGCAAAATTACAACTAATGAAGGCTAGCCTTGCTTTAGCTCTAACAATAATGACAAATATTCATCAAGTATTTTTTTTTTTACTGCAAGGGTGCGCTTATAATAAGTAACGATTTTATAAGGGGTGCGCTTCTAATTGAGGATCGGCCATAAGCGCATTGCTCCATATATAAGCGCATGCGCTTATAATAGGCCTGCGGTTATATCCGGGGCGATACGGTACCGTATCTCAGAATGTGTATTGATAATTCTCAAAAGGTGCTCAGTGCAGGAGTGATTCTCAAGGAGGCGGCATATATTGAAGTAATTGACATGCCACACAGACTGCCATGAGTATGCGACTCGATTTTGCCACTTCTCATAGGGTGCACCGTGTAGGAGTGTCTCTCGGAGAACGCAACGGATATGGAAAAGACCTGCCAGACAAACCGTGCTTGGCGCTTATTTCGGGTTCTCAGGAGGGAGTTGGATTTTGGTGGTCCGCAGGACATGCATTATAAAATCACGACCCCTCTGTTGTAGCAACTCCCAGACTGATTGGCAGATGTTGGAAGTATCAAAGCGCTATTACCATTTCGATGGTTCATCTAACCCCAAAAAACGTTGCAAGCACCCCCCTGCTAGGATTGTTAATCTGGGAGGCCTTTGGACAATTCTCCACCGTTTTTCAATAAAAGGTCACGAATCAGGCACAGGAGCCTTGGCGAAGGCCGGTCAGCAGCTCGAGATAGCCTTGTGAATCCGGAGAAATCATGCTGGTGCAATGGGGATTCACAACACAAGGCAAAGGGGGGTTGTGTTGAAGAAAATCAGGTGGTTGTAGAGGATGAGAAGAGAGGAACAAGAAGGGAACCGCAATGGGTATTCTTGGAGTTGCTTGCAGCAAGTAGCCTTGATCTGGGCGAGTGAGTCCATGGGCTGGGAGCAAGGTTCAAAATTACGGTCGTATTTTTTAGATGTTACCGTTTAGACGGTTTCTTATAATAGGCTGCTGTGAGAAATCGTACAGCAATTTCAAAAATACGGTCGTATTTTTTAACCTTGGATGGGAGAGAATTACAGCGCAGCAGCAGCACTGCGGGCCCCTTGATGGGTGTGCTGGTCCTCTCTTCCACAGTGATACACACACTAGCAACTCTTACCGTATCTTGAGGCACAAAAAATAAGAATACTCCACCAAAGGCACCCACTTCTCTGCACCACCCCTCACCACAAACCCTCTCACTTCCTCCCCTGCAATCACCACCAGCTTTACCTTCACACGCTGCAGTCATCCTCACGAGTCACGAGTCATGAGTCATGAGTCATGAGTAGTAAAGCACTCCATGAGGCATCTCATGGGCAGGTGAGGGAGTAGGCAAGCACGGCACTCCACTCACCCATGTCTTATAAGGAAGTCGATAATAACAAGGTTGCAGTTTGCCTTGTACTCCTTAGTGTTGGCCACGATATTAGCCACAGCTTCAATTGGCAACAGGGAAAACTCCGCCACTTCCCCATCTGTTGGTCAGGGAGTCATTAGAAGAAAAAGCTGGGAGAGAATGAGAAACATAGAAACGGAGAAACAGAGAAACGGAGAAACGGAGGTCTATTTTCTGCTTGCAGCAAAGGAAGAGGTAGTTGGGAAGGAGGTGTTGGAGGGGCAGAGGTGCATGGAGCATCACTTTTCAGCAATGGGAAACATTGCGCGGCAGCAGATTTTGACAGTGGTCAGCAAAAATGTTGAGCGCTAAAAAATTTAGGAGGCTGAAAACCTGTATGTCGTTCTGTAGTAGAAATTTTAGGTGTGTTTTTTAGTCGATTAATAAACGGGGAAGAGGTGCTTGGGAGGGGACAAACACGCAGATGGTTTCTAAGGCGCCTGACAAGTCAAGGAAGAGGCACCTGTGTTTTTAGGAGTGAAGTCGGGCAGCAGCAGGAGGTCGTAGCTAAGAGGTGACTTTGAGTCGATTCACAAAGGCAAGCTGCAACGCACCTGTGTTTCGGGGGGTGAAGTCGGGTGGCAGCAGGAGGTCGTAGCAGAAAAGCACATCCCTCTTGAGCGTGTTGGCTGCTGTCACTATCTCATAGCTCACCACCCCCACCGGCACTGCCCTTCACTCCACCCAGTCAAGTCCATCCCATTGCATTGCATTCCATCCCATCGCATCCCATTTCATCCCATCGCATCCCATTTCATCCCATCGCATCCCATTCCATCCCATCCCATTCCATCCCATCCCATCCCATCCCATCCCATCCCATTCCATTCCATCCCATCCCATTTCATCCCATCCTATCCCATCCCATCCCATCCCATCCCATTCCATCCCATCCCATCCCATTCCATTCCATTCCATTCCATCCCATCCCATCCCATCCCATCCCATCCCATCCCATCCCATCCCATTCCATTCCATCCCATCCCATCCCATCCCATCCCATCCCATCCCATCCCATCCCATCCCATCCCATCCCATCCCATCCCATCCCATCCCATTCCATTCCATCCCATCCCATCCCATTCCAACCCATCCCATCCCATTCCATCCCATCCCATCCCATCCCATCCCATTCCATCCCATCCCATCCCATTCCATTCCATCCCATTCCATTCCATTCCATTCCATCCCATTCCATCCCATTCCATTCCATCCCAATCCATCCATAGCGCCAACCAGCAAAATCACGAGAAAACACGAGCCGGGTATATCAGGCATGCCATTGCATTTGAGGTGAAGCCACAGAGAAACCAGGAAAATGCGCGATGCTCTGCCATCCAGAAGAGAGGGAATTGAACGACGCAAGCACAACATCATGCAGAGTAGGAAGCACATAGCTCGCAACAGGCGACCCGGGCAGTTCTGTGGTTTCGAAATCAGCATTTCCTTTCATGGCACCCCCTCTGTTGGCTCTCTAAGCTAAGCAGCCTAAAGCACTGCGTCATGTCATGTCTCGCACATTCTATCGGATGCTACATCTCCAGTCAGGAGGATTTTTCTGCCCCGTTTCTGGCATTAACGCACTAGTGCTCACCTCTCCGCAAGGTGCCTTGGAATATCTGCCTCCTCCTCACACTCTTTGATCATGTTGTCCCTGCAGCTGATGCCGTGGGGCTGAGGCGGGGAAGAAGGGAAGGGAGGGGGTTGAAATGCGAGGGGAAATGGAAGGATATGATTACAGTGAGAGTGTTATGCATCTTGTCCCGTGACGACTGCACTACTTAGCACCACCTCAAATCAAGCGGTCACTCCCCCATCAGCCCTCTCCCCCGTCACCCCTCTCAATCAACCCTATCATCCATCCTCTCCCACAATCTCACCTGCCCGCCTGCCACTAGATGATCCAGCTGGTTGGGGAACGTGGGCTTTAATGGGGACCGCCGTGCCACCCACAGGTGCAGAGAGGAGGAAGAGGAGGGCAAGTGTGTGTAGCCGTTCATGTGCACGCCGTATGCCTTGGTACCGAAGAGAGGCGCTGCTGCTCGCTCGATGAGGAACGCTGGTGGTGCATAGAACGAGGCACCTACGGGATATAGCTGAAAAAAGGGATAAAGGCACAGAGAGTGAGGCATAAGGGCATAGACTGTGAGGCATAAGGGCATAGACTGTGAGGCATAAGGGCATAGACTGTGAGGCATAAGGGCATAGACTGGTGGGTTGGAGCTCAGGGCATTGCCTTCAGGGCCAGGGGGAAGCGAGGGAGGGAGGGAGGGAGGGAGGGAGGGAGGGAGGGAGGGAGGGAGGGAGGGAGGGAGGGAGGGAGGGAGGGAGGGAGGGAGGAGGAACAGGAGGGCATAGAATATCTCATAAACTGCCCAATTCTGCATACTGCCTTCCTCTCCCTGTCATGGTATCACATACTGGTGCGACACCTGCCCTATCGCCTCTGCCCGCTCAGCAGCACCTGCCGCTTTTATCCAAGCGGTCTGATGAAAACGCCCCCCTCTACCTTCACCGCACTCCTTCGCTCTACCCTCACCATACACCCACTCTCTTCCCTCATCACACACCACCGCCCTCTGCTTTCTCCCTGGACATCAACCCCCTCTCCCCTCCCCTCACCGCAAACCATACCCCCTCTCCCTTCGCCATACACCCCCTCTCTCCCCTCACCACACATCCCCCCACTCTCCACTCACCGCACTCCACCGCACTCCACTCACCTCATTGCGCCAGCCAGTCACCACGCCTTGCTCGCGCAGCCGCTGCAGCACCCCTCCCACCGCCTCTGTGCGCTCAGCTGCCCCCGCTGCCTCCAGCCTCCCTGAAAACGATAGCACTCGCCCAGCAGCAGCAGCAGCAGCAGCAGCGTTGGTGCCACTGCTGTTAGTGGTGGTGGCGGTGGTACTGCTGGGTGCGTGGTGGTGCAGGGAAAAGACGTCGCCAAACGGCTCCAAGTGCTGCCAGAAGCTGCAATGCGCGGAACGACACAAGATGGCACGGCGCGGTTGAGTTTTTTTATTTTCTCTTCTTTCTCTTAAATCAATACCAAACGCCTCAACGCACGCGAGCGGATGGGGGACGAGAAAAGGGCGTGAGTGGGAGGACAGTGATAAGGAGCCAGCCAGCTGCACACTACAAGGCTGCAGACTACACCTTTATTAAGAAATCGATGTACCATTGCTTCATAGTCACAGCTACGAATTGCATCATAGTCACACCTTGATCACCTCCGCACGCACTCACCTGTGGTGAATGTATCCCACAACCTCCCCGTTCACAACGAAGGGGATGAACTCCCACCTACGCTCCTGAGAAGAATGACAGAGAGAAAAGGGGCATGAACAGAGGTGATGGAAGGATGCGGTGAGAGTAGTGGCATGGAGCGTGGGGTTGAGGAGTGGTGGTAAGGTTTGTAAAAGGGTGGGTATGAGTTGCATTAAAGGAGTCGTTGAGGGAAAGAGCGGCAGTTGTTGTGGCTTGAAAGGAGGGGCAATGGAAGTTAAAACAACAATCCAGACAATCTAGGCAATGGACGTTACACACAGCCTTTCGTTTTGCTCGTGTCATGGGTGGGTGAGAGCGTGCTGTCATGGAAACACAGCACGTTCCCACGACAGCACATTCTGAGAAGGTGCATGTGTGCGTGCGGCACATCAACTACCTTCTTCTTCATGTCTCAATTAAACCCTCTCATGTTTTTTCGCATCCCCCACACCCCTCTCCCCCCTTCTGTTTCCCCTTTCACCCCCTCTTCTCCACCCACCCCCTCTTCCCCACCCACCCCCACTCCCCCCCTTCCCCCAATACCCTTCCTTTCCCAACCCACTCACCTACCCACCAGCCAGCCACCCACCCACCCAGCAGTCCCACCCCCCGATCCCCACACCCGCCCACCCACCAGCCCCGCGTTGCACTCGCGAACTCGCGCCAAGTATCCCGACAGATCCGCCGGCAGCTGCTCGGAAACTTCCGCCAGGTTCAGCAGCGAAGCGGGGGGGGCAGCGGGAGCGGAACCTGATCCCCGCCGGATAGACCCGCCCGCAGCTGCTGAGGGAGGTGATCGACGGGAAACGGGGGAAGCGCCTGACACGGGAGAAGCGCGGGAAATGCGGGAAGCGCCTGACACGGGAGAAGCGCGGGAAATGCGGGAACCGCCGGAAGCTGGGGCGGGAAATTGAGGAACGCGGGGAGTGCGGGGAGAGGGGAAAATGGCTCCGCAGGCGCCGCGCAGCGAGCGAGTGGCGGAAAGGCAAGGGGAGCTTGGCGCGCGCCAATTGCTGAGCGGAAGCGACGATTGCGCTAGCGAGTGGATTCCAAGACACGCGGGGATCGCGCGGGAGCGCAGCGGACAGCGGAGTGCCGCCATGGTATGGCGGGGAGATGCGGCAGGGCTGTGGAGGCTGGCATTGGCATTGGTGGCTGGTGGTGAATGTAAACCCAAGACAATTGTGGTGGGCAGTGGCGAATTGACGACGCGACGTTACCGAAAAGGAATATTTCGCCTCTCGTTGAAACGCTAAACTTGGTAACTATGCCATACCGTTATCAAACACTACATGGATCAAACCAGCACATGGAAACGCATGGAATCCTAACCAGCACAATAGAACACAAGCATTACTCACAACCATACTTCAAACCACTAACGAGGAGGTTTGAAGGGGGCACCTGATACCAGTTTGTAAAGAATTTTCCCGAATTCCTTATCGGGGTTGACTGCTTCGCGTACAGCCCCGATTTTTGGACTCTGCACGTTTGGCCGACATTAACTATGCCGAGGTTCCTCGCGTCGTCTTAGGCGTTTCCCTTCGCCAAACATGCACCCAACCTCGCTCACCCGAGTTTCCCTCCTAGCTAGGCTAGCCACTACATTAGTGTGTGCCTTCATTGTATGCTCTGTCTGTTGAATCACAATCTCGTTATTCGTTAATCTGCGCACTCTCCTTCACAACTCATAACACCTGGTATCAGAGCTACTTTCCTAGTTCACCCCGCTTTTCGAGGGTATTTTGGTGGCACGGGTGTGGCTGGTATAGTGGACTACAGGACGATTGGCCGCAAGGTTTGTTAATTCAAACCTGCCCGACTCCGATAGCTCGTGTTTTTCATTCGCCTGAAGGCCTCAGAGACCCGCTTGCCCACCAGACGTAGTGCTAGACACGTGGATCATGAGTTGGTTAACAAACTCATGGCGCAAGTGGCAGAGATTCAGGAGGGCATGAAGTCATTAATGGCGGAAGTGACAACCTTACGTGGAGAAAACGCCGAGCTACGCCAGGCGCGAGGTGAAGCGCGCCAGGAGTCGACTGATGACGAAGGCGAGGGCAACAGTCAAGCGGTGAGCAACCCGTTGGACGCACTCACACGTGACTTTGAAGAGGAAGACAGGCAGCGAGCGGCAGCAGCGCCAGTTGCAGTAACGAGGATCAAGATTACACCCGTCAACCCGCCCCCGTTTAATCCTACGAACAAGACGACTACGATGAAGGGGTGGCTGTTCGGTGTCGAAGTCTTTTTCACCGCAGCAGGTGTGAACGACGATGCCACGCGTATTAATTACGCGGTTTCGCTTCTGCGAGGCGCAGTGCTTGAGTGGTGGCGCCGAACCTTGGAAACGGGGACCCCGACAGGTGTGACACATGCGGCAGACGGAACCTCAACTGTGACTAATCAAGTGGCGGAACCGATCTTCGGAGTGACCAAGATACGCACGTGGAGAGAGTGGGGCGCAGCCTTACGAGATCGCTTCGAGCACGTATCCGCCTCGGAGCAAGCTCGCATGAAGCTGCATGCCTGGTCGCAGATGGCATCTGTCCAAGACTACACTGTCAAACATTAATCACATAGCCTGTCTAGGCTGTAGTGGGGTAGACACTATGGGGTACAGCTTTCTAGGGTTTCATATTTGTACCCAACTCATTTTCCTAGTCAATCATTCATTCCTATTCTTTCACATGGTATAGAGCGGGTTCCCTAGTGGAACTGTTCCTTCCTATGGGCCCACCTTAAATTTTTTTTTTCCTGCCCGAAGCGCGCTTTGCGCCCTGCCCTAGTCTTTCGCGGCCCCTTAGCGGCCTGCCCTGCCCTTTGCGGCCCCTTACGCGGCCTGCCCTCCCCTTACGCGGCCCCTTACGTGGCCCCTTACGAGGCCCCCTACGCGGCCCCCCCCCTACGCGCCCCCCCCCCCCCCCCCCTACGCGCCCCCCCCCCCCCCTACGCGGCCCCGACCCTGTCCCGGCCCCGTCGCGGCCCCTTACGCGGCCCCTTACGCGGCCCCCTACGCGGCCCCTCCCCCCTACTCGGCCCCGTCGCGGCCATATCGCGGCCCCGTCGCGGCCCCGTCGCGGCCCCGTCGCGGCCCCGTCGCGACCCCGTCGCGGCCCCGTCGCGGCCCCGTCGTGGCCCCGACCCTGTCCTGCCCCGGCCCCGACCCTGTCGCGGCCCCGTCGCGGCCCCGTCCCGGACCTGCCCCGGCCCCGACCCTGTCCCGGCCCTGCCCCGGCCTCGTCACGGCCCCGTCCCGGACCTGCCCCGGCCCCGACCCTGTCCCGGCCCTGCCCCGACCTCGTCGCGGCCCCGTCCCAGACCTGCCCCGCCCCCGACCTTGTCCCGGCCCTGTCCCGGCCCCGGCCCCGACCCTGCCCTGGCCCCGTTGCGGCCCCGTCCCGGACCTGCCCCGGCCCCGACCCAGTCCCGGACCTGTCGCAGCCCTGCCCCGGCCCTCCCACGACTCTGCCCCGGCCCTGCTCCTGCACTGCCGCGGCCCGGCCCCGGCCCTGCCCCGGACCTGTCGCGGCCCGGCCCCGGCCCTGCCCCGGACCTGTCGCAACCCTGCCCCGACCCTCCCCCGGCCCTGCCCCGGCCTAGCCCCTGGTAAGAGCATCGCCGGGCCGAGTCGCGCTGCCGAGCCGAGCCGCCCTGCCGAGCCGCCCTACCGAGTCGCGCTGCCCTGCCTAGCCGCGTCGCTTAGTCGCACTGCTGCTACTGCTGCTCCTGTCATGGCTAGTCCTAGTGTTCTTACCTTTGATGCTGAGGGTCGAGCGGTTGACTTCGATGTCTGACTAGATGATCTGCAGCTTTTCCTACAGTGCGATAGCAAGGATGGTCTCTCACTGTTCGATCTCACGTCTGGCGCCTCTACTGCCCCTGCTGCTGATGCTGACAGTACTGTTCGCTCGCAGTGGCTCACGCGCGATGCTGCTGCCCGCCTTGCTGTGCGTAGTCACCTACCGTCTACTGAGCGCGCGCACTTTAGTCAGTACAAGAGTGCTAAGACTCTGTACGACGCTGTAGTTGCACGCTACTCTTCCCCTGCCACTGCTGCGCTTAGCCGCCTCATGCTACCGTACCTGTTCCCTGACCTCGCCGCTTTTGCCACAGTCACTGACCTCATTACGCACCTCCGCACTAGTGACACTCGCTACCGCGCTGCGCTTCCTGCTGAGTTCTGCGCCCAGAACCCCCCCCCCCATGTACATCACCCTCTACTACCTAGTCACCCAACTCCCTGACACTCTTCGCTCGGTCAGGGACCACTTCCTCTCTCTTTGCCCTACCACACTCACCGTTGACCTCCTCGAGGAGCGCCTCCTTGCAGCAGAAACTAGTATTACCGCTGTAGGAGCCTCTCGTGGTGACCCCCGTACCCCTTTCTTTGAGGGGTGCTCCCCCGTTCCTCTTTTGCCCTCCGTTGCCTCTGCTGCTGCTGTCGACCTTGTTGGCACCGAGTCGGTCAGCGCTGCGTCTGCTCCTAGTGAGAGGCGCCGCAACGCCAAGGGCAAGCGGGGCAAGGGCGCTGGAGGAGGTGGCAGGGGAGGAGGTAGTGGCGGTGGAGGCGGAGGAGGGGGTGGGGATGGGGGTGGTGGCAGAGGTGGGGGCTTCGGTGGCAGCGGTGGAGGTGGAGGCGGCGGTGGCGGTGGCGGTTGGGGTGGAGGCGGCGGAGGCGGCAGCGGCGGAGGTGGAGCTGGTCGAGGCGGTACTGTGCAGGGGGGACCCCAGCAGCAGCAGCGCTCTCGTGAGACCCCGTCGCCCCAGCAGCTTTGTGAGTGGTACGCGGGGCGCCAGGGGTCTGGGGCTGCTGGTCCCTGTGCCTACGTGCTGCGCACCGGCGACCGCACTGGAGACCAGTGTGGCGGCCTGCACGCCACCCAGCGCTGCTTCGGCCACCTGACAGATGCCTGGCGTACCCAGTTCCCTGACGCCACTGAGATCCCTCGTTGGGGTGATCTGCTCAGGTCGGGTGTAGCTATTTTTGATCTTGACTTTGATGCTATTCTTGCTGCCATGTATGCTGTGTCTATTAGTGCTGAGGGTGACTGTTACGTGTGTGTTCCGCCTGACCCGGGCATTGAGGCTGCTGCTCTAGGTGCTAGTGAGTCTGCTGCTCCAGGTGCTAGTGAGTCTGCTCTCTCAGGTACCGCGTCGGCTCAGGTTTTGCACACCTTCACCCTCGACTCGGGTGCTTCCCGCTCGTTCTTTCGAGACCGCACCACCCTTACGCCGCTCAGTCGGCCGGTTGCGGTCTCCCTGGCAGACCCCTCTGGGGGTCCTGTTCTTGCTCGCTACTCCACTGTCCTCCCGTGTCCGGCGGCCTCGTCCGGCTTCCTGTCTGGTCTCTACCTCCCCTCGTTCTCTACGAACTTGGTGAGTGGTGCTGACCTTCAGGATGCAGGGGTTGACCAGTTCACTCCTGCGAGTCAGCGAGTGACCCACTGCACGTGTGCTCAAACGGGCCGCCACTTGGCCACGTTTACCCGTCGACCGGGGTCGAGCATGTACACACTGACCACAGAGTCTCCCCCGGTTGCTGCGTCTGGTCAGGTAGCTACGTCGAGTCAGGTGTTTGCTGCAGCGTCTCGGTCAGGTCCTGCGTCTGCCCCCTGCTCATGTCGCCTCCTGTCCCACCAGACCCTTCTCTGGCACCACCGCCTTGGTCACCCCTCCTTGCCTCGTCTCCGAGGCATGGTCTCCCGTGTCCTTGTCTCTGGTCTCCCCCGGTCCCTCCCTCCCCTTCCCCCGGGGCCTGCCCCTACCTGCGTTCCCTGCGTCGAGGGGCGGCAGCGCGCCGCTCCTCACTCCTCCGAGTTTCCCCCGACAGAGGCTCCACTGCAGACTCTCCACATGGATGTGTGGGGCCCAGCCCGCGTCCGTGGACAGGGTCACGAGCGTTACTTCCTGCTGGTGGTTGACGACTACTCGCGTTACACCACAGTCTTCCCCTTGCGCAGCAAGGGTGAGGTCACTGAGGTGTTGATCGACTGGATCCGCGTTGCTCGTCTCCAGCTCAGAGAGCGTTTCGGCTCGGACTTTCCTGTTCTGCGTCTGCACTCCGACAGAGGTGGAGAGTTTTTCTCTGACCTTCTGCGA